GATATTACCATATCCATAAACATGCCATTGAGCATTTGCAACAACCTTGTCCACTGCAAGCTTCGTAGCAGCAGCCTTATAGCATTTTTTCTGTATCTGTAAGCTTACGGGATGGCTTGTAATTTCACAGTATTTTAATTGGGTTAGGTGAATTTACTATAAAAAAAGATCATGAAAAACATACCTGAAACAGAAAGGAATGTTTTAGTGACAACCATCATAGGTATATTTTGGAGAAATAAATCATAGTTTAGGTCAATTACTTTTCATTCTATGATTCCCGGTGCACAATTATATATATAGCATTCTATCTACAATTTTGTGACGACCAATGATGCACTAATTTTTTGATAAGTGAAATTTTTTTTGCGGAGCGAGGTAAATGTAACCAATATTCTTTGTTTTTAATCAATTTTTTACTTAACTGACCCTTTGCTTACTGAGGTTCTACAGTAAATGCGTTTTTGGGGGTGTCCCGAATAGCCCTGAGGGGGTGTCCCGAGTAGCCCCGCCATGCGGAAATGGCCCCATTTTTTTTGGAATGAGTAGCCCCGATTGACAGTATATTGATGACAGCTCCTAGACGCTCAATATTTTTGTTCAATATTTTTTGTTGCACAATATTACTGAGCATGTAGGGGCCATATTGATGGGTTGCGCAATATATTGTGCAATTACGCCCCCAGACGTGCAACCGTACTGCACAAACAGTGCCAGCCAGACTTTCACATAGCCAACATGTTGAGCGATAATGACTTGTGCTGCCTAATAATTGCTTTGTCAGCAAGTCGTTAAAAAAGTAAGAGAGGCTCGCAAAAAGGTAGAAAATGGTAGAAACAGTGGTTTATCAACAGAGAGTTCACCCACAAAAAATTGTTTAATGAATTGAGAATGATTGAACCTAATGATTTCTGGAATTTTGTACGAATGGATGGGGAACTTTTTGACAAACTCCTTGCTTTGGTTACTCCTGCAATCGGTAAAATAATCCCTGTAATTGGTAAAATCACTGTACTTTTCAGTCAGTACATCGTACTGTTCAAGCTTCTTAGCACGATTTGCGTAGTCTTGGCACTTGACATCCCATAGAGCTGGGAGACCCCGATATACCTCAATGAATTCCAGCATAAATTCTTTATCAGCTTTCTTAACATCTGTTATGATGTAATCCACGTTGCTAAAATGACGTGTAGATAAGCGTAAAACTGCCCACTGGGGACACACTGACAAAACATTACGCAATATAGCCCCTACATGGCACAATATCTTCCGGTTTGTTCAATATATTTTCAAGATTCTGAAAATTACGCAATATATTGCACAGCCTGTCAATACCTTCAAACGGGGTAAAAAGGGACAGTTCTGCGCATTTTTGGTTAATAACTTCTTACCATGAAACATTTCAGAAACAAGTTTAGGCTCATTTTATAGCTCTTTGCAAGGGGTATCAAATGGCATCTTCAAAAAAATTCCATATGCTATTTGTAAGGCGCTAGACGCAATATGAAAGGCTCCTGAATTAATCTTGAAATTGGGTAAAAAGGGACACTTGAAATAAAACTCAATTTCAAACATTTGAAGCAAGTAGAGTGTACTCATCTATTACTAACAGTACTCTGAAGTCCTCCTCTTTCATTTTAGATGATGTAGATGTAAAATAAATGACATTTTCTGTGATTTTTACTTGTTTTTCCTTTATTGATATGATATTACCATAATCATTAATTACCGTATTATTAATGTGATATAACTGTATCCATGGACATGCTACTGAGCATTGACAATGACCTTGTCCACTGCAAGCTTCATATTAGCAGCCATGTAGCATTTTTTCTGTATCTGTAAGCTTACAGGATGGTTTGTAATTTTGCACAATTTTAATCAAGTCTAGTGATTTCATTATAACAAAAAAGATCATGAAAAACACCTGAAACAGAAAATAATGTTTTAGTAACAACATCATATGTTTTGAAGAANAAGGACCATATCTATCGATTGGTCCTTGCCATTTTTCTAAATTCTAATTTTTGTGGGTGGGGTGGGTATTTTTAAAAAAAGATTTTATTTCCCCTCCCCACCCTTTTGAATTTCCCCCACTTTTTTCAAAATATTTTCAAAACTATAACAAAATTGAAAAAAAGCTACACCCAATCTCTAGATCTTTTATTTGCAAATTGAACGGTATGTCTCTCATTGCTGTAGCTTAAAAACTCTAGGGGAAGATAGGTTTACAGTGACAGTAAGTGTGAATGTTCAGTAGAGCGCAACAAAGTACAGAGCACCTTGAAATAGGCACTCAAGGTGGCATGGATACAAGACTAGACATTACTGGAGCTGAAATTCAGTCAAGGATAGTTGGAACGACTGCATGAGCTCCATCCCACACGACAGCAGCTGGGTAACTAAAGATCAGCGTCTTCAGACCGTCTATCTATGTGCCCGGCCGGTAATTTTTGCCTACCTATCTTAAATGTGAAAGAACTCCCCCACCCCTAACCCTTTCGCCATCTGTCATCAAGGCATAAATCAACGTACAGAGATGATTTTGGTACTGTTGGATAGGTCAAAATGTCAGCTTTAAGGTGAGACTAAAAACTGGAAAAGTGAAATTTGTGATTTTTGACCCAAAAAATCAGGCAGTAAAGGGCTAATGGACTGACGAGATCCAGATTCAAGATGTTACAGTAAAAAATCAAGAATTTTTCTAATTTAAATAATTTAACACTCTACTTTCAGTCTTTGCAGCATCAATCAACCCAGTATGGCAAGCTTTTGCTTTTAATAACTTAATAACATGTGCCATTTGAAATAAAAATGACATAAATTGACATTCAAGTAAAATATTTTATACATTGCTTTCATTACTGAGCTTATCTTTGGACTTTGGGTGATTTCTCAGAGTCAAATCATAGTCTCAAACCTTCTCAGAAATTTGTTCTTTTAATAATTTGGGATTTAAAATTGGGGGTTGAGTTGAATTTGGGTTGAGCATGGGAATTGCAAATTTCATAAGCTATTCTTGGAAATCGCAGGCAAAAATTTTCATTCATATTATTTTTTTCTGATGGAAATTGGGCAAAACCTATATAGACGAGTATAGGTAATCATGGGAGTTTCTCTCTCTTTTACAGTTGGTTTCTACCCAATTTTCCAGTTGGTGTTATACAATTGTACAACAATATGAAATGAATATGATGTATGTGTCTTTTTCAGCTCTCTTGTGGTTTAAATAATTTGCATGACTCCTTGGCACTTGATAAATATAAATACGATAATAGTGTTACAAAAAGTATCTTCATTATTCAAACTTGCATAGCATAAGAACTTATATTGGACTTGAATGATGAAACTGATGAGTGATGATTTTTCTGCATTTTTTTTAAAAGGCAAATGTATCAATACCATCAAATGAGGGTAATAAGGGATGGTTTTTGTTAATAACTTCTTACCATGAAACATTTCATAAACAAGTTTGGGCGCATTTATAGCTCTTTGAACCTAATTTTATAACATTTGTAGCATACAGAGTGTAATCATCTATTACTAACAGTAATCTGAAGTCCTTTTCCTTTGTAGATGATGTAGATGTAGAATAAATGACATTTTCTGTGATTTTTACTTGTTTTTCCTTCATTGATTTGATTTTACCATCTCCATTCATTACTATATTATTGATGTGATATTACCTTATCTATGAACATGCCATTGAGCATTTACAACGACCTTGTCCACTGCAAGCTTCATATCAGCAGCTGTATAGCACTTCTTCTGTAACTATGCCTACAGGATGTCATGTAATTTTGCATCATTTTAATTGGATCAAATGAATTCACTATAACAAAAAAGGTAGTAGAAAACATACCTGGAACAGAGAGGAATGTTTTAGTGACAATCATTATATTAGTTGGAGAAATAAACCACAGTTTAGGTTAATTACTCTTCATTCTATGTTGCCTGGTGCATAATTCTATCTAAGACATTCTATGCGCAATTTTGTGATGACCGATGATGAATTAATTTTCTGTTAGGTGAAATTTTTTTGTTAAGCAAGGCAAATGAAAATCAAATTCTTTGTTTTTAATTAATTTATTGGTTAACTGGAGCCTTTGCTAACCAAGATTCTATGGTAAATGTGTTTTTAGGGGTGTCCCTTATTACCCCGTCTTGCGGGAATGGCCGCCATTCTTTTGGGGTTGAGCTATTCAAATTCCATCAATCACATTTTTAAGCCAACACCTATGTGCACCTTTTATGTAGGTAAATTTGTTAATATGGCAAACATTTTTTTTTTNGGGCCTTCTAGACGCTCAATATTATTGCGCAATATGGTTTGCACAATATATTGACGACAGCTCCTAGACGCTCAATATTATTGTTCAATATTTTGTGTTGCGCAATATTACTGAGCATGTAGGGGCCATATTGATGGGTTGCGCAATATATTGTGCAATTACGCCCCCAGACGTGCAACCGTACTGCACAAACAGTGCCAGCCAGACTTTCACATAGCCAACATGTTGAGCGATAATGACTTGTGCTGCCTAATAATTGCTTTGTCAGCAAGTTGTTAAAAAAGTAAGAGAGGCTCGCAAAAAGGTAGAAAATGGTTGAAACAGTGGTTTATCAACAGAGAGAAGTGCACCCACGACAATTGTTTAATGAATTGAGAATGATTGAACCTAATGATTTCTGGAATTTTGTACGAATGGATGGGGAACTTTTTGATGAACTCCTTGCTTTGGTTACTCCTGCAATCGGTAAAATAATCACTGTAATCGGTAAAATCACTGTACTTTTCAGTCAGTACATTGTACTGTTCAAGCTTCTTAGCACGATTCGCGTAGTCTTGGCACTTGACATCCCATAGAGCTGGGAGACCCTTCACCCCGATATACCTCAATGAATTCCAGCATAAATTCTTCATCAGCTTTCTTAACATCTGTTATGATGTAATCCACGTTGCTAAAATGACGTGTAGATAAGCATAGAACTGCCCAATGGGGACACACTGACAAAACATTACGCAATATAGCCCCTACATGGCACAATATCTTCCGGTTTGTGCAATATATTTTCAAGATTCTGAAAATTACGCAATATATTGCACAGCCTGTCAATACCGTCAAACGGGGTAAAAAGGGACGGTTTTGAGCATTTTTTGTTAATAACTTCTTACCATGAAACATTTCAGAAACAAGTTTAGGCTCATTTTATAGCTCTTTGCAAGGGGTATCAAGTGGCATCTTCAAAAAAATTCCATATGCTATTTGTAAGGCGCTAGACGCAATATAAAAGGCTCCTGAATTAATCTTGAAATGGGGTAAAAAGGGACACTTGAAATAAATCTCAATTTCAAACATTTGAAGCATGTAGTGTGTACTCATCTATTACTAACAGTACTCTGAAGACCTCCTCTTTCATTTTAGATGATGTAGATGTAAAATAAATGACATTTTCTGTGATTTTTACTTGTTTTTCCTTCATTGATATGATATTACCATAATCATTAATTACCATATTATTAATGTGATATTACTGTATGCATGGACATGCCACTGAGCATTGACAACGACATTGTCCACTGCAAGCTTCATATCAGCAGCCATGTAGCATTTCTTCTGTATCTGTAAGCTTACAGGATGGTTTGTAATTTTGCACAATTTTAATCAAGTCTAGCGATTTCATTATAACAAAAAAATCATAAAAAACATACCTGAAACAGAAAATAATGTTTTAGTAACAACATCATATGTTTTGAAGAAATATATCATAGTTTAGGTCAATTACTTTTCATTCTATGATGCCCGGTGCACAATTCTATATATATCATTCTATGTAAGTACAATTTTGTGACGACCAATGATGCCCTAATTTTTCAATAAGTGAATTTTCTTTTGCCAAGCAAGGTAAATGTAATCAAAATTCTTTGTTGTTAATCAATTTTTTTGTTAACTGGAGCCTTTGCTAACTGAGTTTCTACTGCAAATGCATTTTTAACGGTGTCCCTAAATGGACCCTAATTACCCCGTGGGGGGGTTTTCCGAGTAGCCCCGTCGCGCAGAAATGGCTGCCATTTTTTTTTTAATGAGATAGGCAAATTCTGTCAATTACGTTTTCAAGCCAACACCTGGGTGCAACTTTTATGTAAGTAAAATTTTTCAACACGGCAAATATTTTTTTTGCTCCAGACCTTAGCAGAGGTACTTTTCCAAAATAGCACTTTTCACACTTTTTTTCAGCGATTTTTTAGAGATAGTAAATGTTTGATTTCTTGACTAGCTTTATACATAATAGATAGGGTAGTAAAAATATTGAGGTGTACGCCACTATATTTAATTTTGCAATATTTTGATTAGTTTAGCTGCTACAACATTTCTACAAAATGTGGGAAGCGCGTCCCTATTTACCCCGCCCATCCCTTTTCAACATGTTTGACGGTATCGCCCCTAGACGGTCAATAATATTGTGCCAACCTAAATATTGCGCAGTAATATTGTATGTCTAGAGGCCGCTTAAATGCGTTTCAAGAGGTGATTACCCTGTCCTGAAGAAATGGCCACCATTTTTTTTAATGAGATATGAGAATTCCATCAATCACATTTTTAAGCCAACACCTGTGGCTGTGTGCAACTCTTACGTAAGTAAAATTTTTTGATACAGCAAATATTTTTTTGCTTCAGACCTTAGCAGAGGTTCAGGAAAGTTTCCAAAATCTCACTTTTCACACTTTTATTCAGGGATTTTTTAGAGGTAGTAAATGGATGATTTATTAAATTACTTTATGCTACATAAATAGTAAAAATGTTAAACTTTATGCCACAATTTTTAGTTTTACAATATTTTGATTAGTTTAGCTGCTACAACATTTCTACAAAATGTAAATTCTACAACTGTCCCAATTTACCCTGCCCGTGAGCGGCCTGTCCCTTATTACCCTGTTTGACAGTAGGATATATACTATCTAATTATTCAAGTTAACTTGAATAAACTGAATTAAATTGAATTTTTGGTTTTTAATTTTTTCATCTGCATAACCTAAATTTTAATTGTAGAGAAAATAGAATAGATTGTGTAGTGACAGCATTTAATAAATTCTTTAAGTGCATTTTAAACCTCCAATATGGAAAATTTGTAAAAATACATTTGAATAAATATTTCATACATAAAACCTCATACTTTCTTCAACTGATTTCAGAAATTTTAATTACTGGATATTTCAATGCTTGCCCGCACCCCGCGGGCCGCGAATGGGTGAAGTCCTAATTTTAGGCCGGTGCGAGTGCCGAGTGGCGACTCAGTTGACCGCTCTTTAGCAAGAAGTGTGGAAGCAGTTGCAAGCGAGTGTTAGTGTAACAGGCTAGGCTAACAGCTTCTAAGAAAATTCAACATAAAAATAGCTTCTTTATGGGTATTGATCATGATGAAATATTACCAAATCTTACAAAAAAAAAACTGCAGGTCCCCTAATGAATTTAGTTTAAACAATGGAACGATCTCATGGGACGAACTCAACTCAAAGTTTAGGTAGGTATAAGGCCAAAACGGGGCCATTGCGCCCATATGGCAGCTGGTGCTAAAATAAATCACTCAAGACAAAAACAGGAAGAATTTTCGAAATAAATACTTACGTAATAATTTTAAAACTTTATATAGATATTATTTGAGGAATTTTCAACAAGGTCCAATTAGCAATGAGAAGTAAAGTTTATAATGTCGCGGAACAACCCTCACAACACACCCGAGGATTGACCAGGTGCAGACTGACGTCATTGACACCCACTCAGAACTCGTCGTAGCATGTGGGAAAAACTTCGCAAGCGCCATCTGTTGCTGAAATATAAACCTAAATGAATGCTGTTTAATCGAGCTATAAATCTATCAATTATTCGGAAATAGATTAAAATGTAAATAAAAAAATAATTTAGAGTATAATAATTTTTGGTGCACGTAAAATTGAAAACCTACTAAAAATGAAGTGACTATTATTCTGAGTAAATTTCTCGACCAGTTGAAATTACACTTTGTTGATCGCTGACGTAACTGAATTGTTTATTTGCTATTCCTCTGAAGCCGTGAGTCATTTACATCCTGTCAATGGCAGGAAATGGGTAGATGGAGCTGGCTCTTTGCAGGAGTGGCGTAATCTTGACAATTGACATCCCTTTTGGCTCTTGCCCTGCCCACATTAATCCTAATGCACCTTTTATTTTTCTTTGCGAGTCTATTTAATAATTTGTTTAAGCAGTTAGTTACTTCGTTTCTATTTTTCTAAAACATTGCTTCTTACTCTAGCCTTCTAGGTACCTCCATACCTGGGCTGGGCTGTCTGCTGTCATAGCCTCCGCCCTCCCTCATAGCCATAGGTATATAACTACCTACGTTTGAAAACCATAGAATAAGGTTTTTTTTGGGTGAACTTGTGGGAGAGTTTCTGTATATTTCTGTGTCTGGGTTTGGGTCAAAACTTGAGAAGTTGAGTTTGTCAATGCCACTAAAGTCGCCATGCTACAGCCTTACAGGGAAAAGGAAATATTTATTGAAATGGACCCAATACGAACATTTCATTGCCATAGGAAAATACTATAACATTTATTAACATTGCTTAAAGATATTATAATACATTTTTGACATATAATTTGTAATTAGTTTTGAGATTCCAAAGCAACATGACAAAAATGCTGCCATCGACACAAATTTTTTCCTTCTCCTGTCTGCACCGCATTTGGGCAATGCTCTATTGCTGTATTGCAGAATGCAGAGAAAATGTTTTCCGTACCATCTCGGGGTCATTCCGAGCTGAAACGCAATAAAAAGAGGTTCATATTGCTTCTACTCCAAATTCTAAAGACACTTTAATATAGTCATTAATTTATTCTAAATATACCTGGCAACTTAAGTGCATATAAATTTGAGATAAATGGCAAGGTTTGTGTAGGAAATTTGCTTCATGAGGCAGGCCTTGAAGGATAATTTTTGTTGCTAATTTATACTAACAATGTAATGGTAGTGTCAGAGTGTTGCCTAAAATAATTCAAGAATTGTTCCCCATTGACCATTCATGTTCTTTCCAACAGAATTAGCAATTAGTTTTTAAAAACGTTGTAAAATGACTTCAATCTTCAAAAGTCGCACTCGCGCATGACACTCTTGCATCGATTGGAGTTACGCAAAGTGAATATAGCGCTGCATTGAAGTGTCTGAGCTCATTGGAATAAGCGTGACACAAGTCGACTTTCTTACACATAATCTTAATAAGGTAAACTACCTTGTTCAATATCGTAAAATGAAGAGATTAAAACAAATAAAAACAATTTCACGCACTTAATTGAACTTTTAAGGATAAAACTCACATCGGATGATAAATATTTACATACGTTATTTTGCATGATCAAAACGAACGGTACATGCATTTGTTCGACTATGTTAATTAATATTTTTTACCATTCAAGAAGACTTTATGAAAAGGAACAAAACTAAGATTGTGGAGGCAGAAGGACATGGATAGGGCTCTTGCAGCCAGCTCGCTGAGATTAGAATCTTCCCGCGTTAGCCGCTGCCCGGACGCATAGTGGCAAACCAGAGAGTTTTTAGAATCAGTTCATTTTATTTTCCTCATTTAGGTACTCAAGATTTGGACCAATTTCTTATGTATGATTATGCTGGTATCCAGGATACTTTACTGGTCTACTTATAGGACTCAAAAATGAACTTGAGGGAGAGTCTAAAAAACTCTCTGAGTTCAATATCGTAAAATGAAGAGATTAAAACAAATAAAAACAATTTCACGCACTTAATTGAACTTTTAAGGATAAAACTCACGTCGGATGATAAATATTTACATACGTTATTTTGCATTATCAAAACGAACGGTACATGCATTTGTTCGAGTATGTTAATTAATATTTTTTACCATTCAAGAAGACTTCATGAAAAGGAACAAAACTAAGATTGTGGAGGCAGAAGGACATGGATAGGGCTCTTGCAGCCAGCCCGCTGAGATTAGAATCTTCCCGCATTAGCCGCTGCCCATACGCATAGTGGCAAACCAGAGAGTTTTTAGAATCAGTTAATTTTTATTTTCCTCATTTAGGTACTCAAGATTTGGACCAATTTCTTATGTATGATTATGCTGGTATCCAAGATACTTTACTGGTCTACTTATAGGACTCAAAAATGAACTTGAGGGAGAGTCTAAAAAACTCTCTGCTTTGCCACTATGCCCGTACGTTCAATGTGCCACGCAAGACACTCGCAGATTGCCTCTCGATATGAGTCAAGGAAGACTGTACCGGCAAACCAACAGCGTTGTCAGCAGAGCATAAGCTGTCGCTCTGTAATTGCATCGAGTATGTGACAAATAGAGGTTTTCCATTGACCGTGGCACAAATTTCAATGTTTGCCTGGTGCATTGATTGTAGGTCCAAGAGACATTTTCGGAGAGGCCTCGCTACCGACGCTACGTATGGGGGTTGAAGTTTAGTTACAGACACCCTGAGTCACTCAAACATCGGAAAGGCGAATGCTTAGATCACGGCCGAGCAATTTTTTCAACAAATGAAAATTGGATTGATTCTTTACGATTACTGCAAGATGCTCATGAACGTGATAATGTTGATGAACGTTCCCATGACATGGTGGTGGACCTCAACAAGTCATCGCAGAATGTTGTCTTGCCTCGGCGAGTGAAGAATTCCCATTCTCAGCACATGACATTACAATAACACAAAAGCATCGATTGCTGCGTTTCACCGTACCTCATTGCAATGGCTCCAATGATCATTTTTAAAGCCGCACTTTAAAAATGGCGACTTTAGTGTACCCTTTGTTAATATCGCTGGCGACTTTAAAGTAGGTACTATATACCTTGCCACTCCAGACGAGTCTCGCGAACTCCCATTTTATTCTATGATCAAGCAATAAAAAAAATGTAGTGACTTTTTTCTCAAAAGTCTGAACATAAGGCACACCTGCACACGTGTTACATTTAATTTTTAGCTTATTGGTGTTTCAAAATTTAGTATATTCTTGCGGGTTTTTTGAAAGTGGCAACTTATGTGGCATTGACGGTATACTAAACAATGTTCCTGTCAAGTGAGTACTGAGTCTGAGTGGCGACTGGCAAGCCTTTAGTCTGTTGGCAGTTGGAGCACTAAGAGAACTTTCAACAGCAGTCAGCACAGAAACCAGGGTGTAGTGACTAGTGAGTATATTTATGAAGATTGAAATTAATAAAATTTCATAAAAAATGAAAAAATTAATAACAGTTAAGGGGACCGTGACCTGGTGACCGTCGCCTGTTGGGACCCTCTCCATCTTTTGAAAACTTCTTCATTTACAAACAGATCGTTTTGAAACTTGGTACACATATGTAAAACAGAAATCTGAGAACTTTTTGTTCATGTCAATTTTTTGAAAAAAATGAAAGAAAACATGAAATTCATAGAAAATGCCAAAAAAAGGGGTACTTCAAAAATCTGTCTCCTACAAATATTGTGCTACAACATGAAGACATGTATCATTCGATTTGTAACAATCATATCTAAAATCCATCTGATCATTTTTTGAATTTCAAATTTGTTTGGGAGGAGGGAGGGCATTTTCCAATTTTTTTTCAAAAATTTCTAATTTTCCCCCCTCTGCTGTGCCTTCTTGCAAAATATAATCCAAATTATAGCCTATCAAAATAAAAAAAAGTGACTAGATTGGTTTCTAGATTTTTTTATTTATGAATAGGATGGTATACATCTAGGTAATACTTTAGATTAAGTGCATCCAAAAAAGAGGTGTTTTTATTTTTTAATTATATGTTTTTTGGGGTGTAGATAAAGAATCTGAAATTCGTTTTTGGCGGTCGGCATCGGAAAACCAATTTTTCCCCCAGGCTCTAATTCGTCAAAAAAAAATTGGGCAAAAAAAACCTAACCTAAACTAACCTAACCGTGGTTGCAATGTTATGGTTGCAAGAGTACTATATGGGTCACTGAGGCTAAGTTAAAAACGCTATAAATCCACGGATATTGGGGCCAAAATTTGACTTGCATTTTATCTTAGAAAATATATAAAAATCGGCATATATAAAAATCGGTTTTCTGATGCCAACCGCCAAAAACAGATTTCATATTCTTTATCCTCATCCCAAAAACATGTAATTAAAAAATAAAAACACCTTTTTTTTGGATGCACTTAATCTAAAGTAATACCTATGTCTCATTGCTGTAGCTTCAAACTCTGGGAGGAGATAGGTTTGCCATGACAATAAGTGTGAATGTTCAAGAGAGCGCGACAAAGTCCCACGCGCATTGCAATAGGCACTCAATGTAGCAAGGATATAAAACTAAATGTTACTGCAGCATGATTCCAGTCAACTTGTCAAGGATGGTGGGAATGACTGCATGCACACCTCCTCATACAACGCCAGCAGGTAAATGAGCTGCAGCTGAAGCAGACACTCTATTTATAGTGCTCAGCAGCTAATTTCCTCCTATTCTATTTGTTAAAGAACTCTCCCATCCCCCTCCCTTTCATGATCTGTCGTGAATGCATAAATCAACGTACAGAGATGGTTTTGGTACCAGTGGATAGGTCAGAATGTCAGCTTCAAGATGAGACTAAAAACCAGAAAAGCCAAAATCCAAAATTTTGGGGTAGACGCTCCCCTTAAAGACTTGAAGCTATAGAACTATTAAAAAAATTCTAAGAATTGTAGCCTTTGTAGGCAGGACTGAAATTTTCCTTCCTGTTTTTGAAATCTCATGGCTTTGGCGTGATGAATTTTTAATACAATTGGAAACTGGCAGCCCGATTGTGCACTTTTGTTCACAATAAGATTGGAGGTAATTCATCTGGCGGGAATCTCGCAGTTCTGGAAATGGCAGGAAAGCCCTAGTTATGGCCCTAAAGGGATATGTTTTCCATGCTTGTTTGTAGGTAGCTCAACAAAAGTCAACAATCACATTTTTTTGTTATATTTAAAAATATGTAAGAATATCATGAATTTTTTCTCTTTCACCCATTTGTATGCATTTTTTTTTATTTTGTCAGAAGAAGAGAAAAAAAAAACATTTTTACAAGCAATTTAAACAAAAAACAACTGTGATGAGATAGTTCTTACCTGTGATTTTAGGAAAATTATTCTCAATATTCCAGATTGGCAAGCATGTGTGTTTTTGTCTCATTTGTGGGCTATGGCCAACTTACAAACATAGTGCTAGTGGCAAAGGAGAACATACTATGTTGCTCTCCCTAAAGTTCATTTTTGAGTCCTATAAGTAGACTAGTAAGTTTCTTTGATACCACATATATATATAAATATTAAGCAGATAACCAAGTTAAGGAAATTAAAAATAAACTGATTCTGAAAAATCTGGTTTGCCACTATCACTACGGACCATTGTGATAGTGGCAAACCAGATTTTTTTTAATTTTCAATTTTGTAAAATTGGCATAAGCCACCATGATTGCTACCATAGTATGGTGACAAATGGCAATCATGGGTGGGGGTGGCTAATGCCAATTTTACAAAATCGATGGCTTGGCCAAGGTTTTCAATTTCTAGATTGAATAAATATAAATTATTCCTCTTAACAAAGGGAGATATTTTAGTTGCAACTCATTTTCAATTTCTAGATTACACTAATTTTAAATGGTATGAGGGTATTCCTAAAAATTTTTCAAGCATATTATTGTAAATTTAATCACTGGTGTGCATTCTCAACATTTGTAACTAATGCATTTCTAATTGAGTTGTAAGTTTCTGGGATCTCTGTAGTATTACAAAAGAATTTTCATGGTCAAATAGTTTTTTTAACTGTACTGCTTACAATAAAATATCATCAGCACAAGGGATGTACTGGGAGGGGGCATGTTGGCAGGGGTGGTTTAGGTTACTTTGCAGCATATCCTCTTGTCCCTCTTATTTGTGCTACTGTGTGTATGCTTTCCTTTTGAAGTTTTTAAATATTTTATTATTTTAACTAAATGTTGACCTTCTTTGATCTAAGAGCCATTTTGATGCCAGAGAGTCAACCCACAATACAGCGACCCTTGCATGCTGAGGCCTTTGCTGGATAAACTTTATACAGATCCTCCTGCTGGATTGGAGAAATTTTTTGAACAAATTTTCTGCTGTGTGAATGTCATCAGCCAATGCTCCTTTGGCAACATTTGTGCCATGTGCTTTTGACTGTGTGCTCCAAGAATTCACTTGCATCACAGCTGACAATGCCAGCTGGCCACTGCCTAGCAAGCATTGTACCAGCAATCAGCTGCTGACATTGTTACCTAAGGGAATGGCATAACCCCAGCATAACCTCTGATCAAACTTTTTGACTGCTACCTCACTAACGGTGTTGTTCTAGTGAACTTTACATAAGCTTATGTTTGCTTCTATTGAGAAACCAGACCTTGATGCTTCTGATCCCAAATCATATTGACCCATCTCCAATCTGTCAATTTTGTCAAGACTTCTGGAATTTGTGGCCTGACAGATGAAAAACCATTTTCTGCAGAGTAGTCTCATGCCTTGCCTCCAGTCTGCTTACAGTCATCTCCACTCAATGGAAACCGCTGTGCTGAAGGTGCTTCCAGATATTCTGAGAGCAGTAGGTGGTGGTGACATTTTGGCACAGGCTTTACTTGACCAGTCGACCACATATAACATGGTCAATCATGCTAGTATATTGCATCAACTTGATACATTATTTGGCCTGTGTGGCTCACTGCTGTGGTGGTTTGAGTCCTATCTCAGCAATAGATTCTATTGCACTCAATGCAGGAACTCTTCTACACTTGTTGGTCACTTGTGGCATACCACAGGGATCAGTCCTTGGCCTGATACTTTAGCTGTTAAAAGCTCTTAATGTATTGCACATAATTGATTCACATTGTTTGAATCTGCATAAGTTTGCCAATGGCATACAAATTTATGGCTACTGTGCATCAGCTGATGCTGGAGCAGTGCAGGACCAGATGTGTGTCATCATGAATGCCATATCAGATTGGATGCGGTCCAAACAACTTCAGCTGCATCAAAAACCGACTTAATTTGTTTTGTGACTGCTTGGCACCAGCATCAGCTTCTGGCTAATCCTGTTCACATGGGTGACGAGTTTGTCATGCCTGCACCTTTGGTTTGCGACCTCAGCGTTCTGCTGGACTGGGAACTTTCTATGAACAATTGCATTGCCTAAGTCACCATAGCTTGTTTTGGTGCTGTGCAACAAATACATAGTCATCTGTCTTTTGAAGCTGGTCATTGAGGCTCTCATGGTGGCGCTCGTTCTGATCAGATTAGAGTGTGGTAATGCCATACTCTATAAACTTCTGACTAGGGCACTTACTAAACTGTGATCTTAAATGATTGCTGTTGTGCAACTTGTGTGTAGTAAGAGAAAAATTAACCATGTGATACCAATATTTTGCCATCTTCATGGCTGCCCCAGGCCAGTTCAAGGTTGCTGTTCTGATATTCCAATGCCATCACAGACTGGCATTTACTTATCTCGCAAAATGTCTGTAGCATGTGTCTGATTTTTCATATATGGAAACATCAGACAATTATTGACAATATTATGAAATGCCAAAGGTATGTTCCTCTTGCTCATTATGAGCAAGTCTGTGGGACAATCAATATTCTATGAAAATTGCAATTTCAACGGTTGAATGCATCTTGTTGGTTCACATGCTTTGTATAAAATGTGAGCCAAGATATATATTGGTTAAAATTGTTTCTACTCTCTCAATTTACAGAAAGCATATATATTATTCAATTTGTAGAAAAGAAGAAAATTATGTTTTGCCCATGGAATATGTTGTGTAAAACTCAAGTCTTTCTATCTAACAGGTCATTGTACTTGCCTCAATCTGCTCCTAGAGATTGCATTAGTCTGAAATCTATGGCATGGACTCTAAATCAAATCTATTTTTACCTTTCCTCTTAAGCCCTTGTCTACTGTGTTTCATTTCTGCCCAAAATATGTCAAAAATTTTGAATTAAAATATTCCAGTTTGGTTGGTCATTATGTCCTATTTAGATTTTAGGACAAGATACCAGACAAGTTCACAGTCTATATTTTTTTTAGTTTTGTAAGCATCTAATTGTTGCTCAAGACATCTTCGCTCCTCTAGACTTGGTGCAGAAATGCTCATCCAAGCTTGGCAGTCTAAGCTTTTTTCCATTGGACTTAGCTCAGCTTTCATTAACAACGCTAGATGAATGGAGACAGTTGGACTAAAACTGAAAATCTTGTGAATATTTTCATTACCTGTGAAATTGTGAGACAAATAGATAGCTCTGATTGAGCTTGAAACAACTTTAATTCACCACACTCATACTTTGCTCTTTTTGTGGCAGATTCTGCTGAGAATGAAAATGAAAATAATGATGTTTGTAGATATTTACTGGCTGCTGGTGTTATTCTCCACAGCATCTTTTAGTAATGGGAATTATTTTGATAGAGGAGGTAATTTCAGTCATCACCAATCATCTGTAAATCAGGTAAGTAAAGAGACGAAACATTTATATGCTATAATTTTTCATTTGTACCAAAAAGACCCTCAAAAGCCTGTTTTTATCCAAGAATTCAAAATCATAGAAAAGCCAAGGAAATCCACCATATCCTCATGAAAAATCTTTTGGAGTTCACCTTGAAGTCTAAAAGTTTTGATTACTCACAATTCATGAAGACAAGGCTTTTGTTTAAAAAATATATCACAATTCCAGGTGATTCAGATTTAAGGATTGCTGCATATTTCTTACTGAATACCATGTCTTAATAGTGCATGCTGCTCCTGAGGTTTCATGTTCCATTGACATTTTCTTGTTACTTAAGTTTTAATTTGTGTGTTTATATCTTGTGATGGTGCTTATGGTCCACGAATTTTTTTAACTGATGATGGAGCAATTCATTATCAATGAAGATATGATGAATATTCTTGGATTTTTTTTTTTAATTCTTTACAAACTTATGTAGAGTAATGTTATAAGCAGGTACTTCCACTTCTCTTTTTGGAAAACTTGTATTTCTTCATCACATGAGTCCTGTTTCTTGTCTACTATCAATGCCGGTCTTGAGGGTTACAGTGGAGTCTTGAGATTTCTTAATAATTGTTTATATGGTGTCCATAGGCCTTCTTTGTAGGTTAAGTTCTGCTGTTCTGGGTATATGAGTACTAATGCCCCTAAGTTCTTTTATTGTTCAAGCAAATTTGTTTTGAAATGTCTATGATATCTTTTCAAACTATTTTGAATTAACATATAACCATTTGATGAGACATTGGTTGAATTTTATAAATGAAATATTTACAATGTATTGAACTAATAGCCACCTGCATCTATCTGTGCACGTTTCTTTTTTTAACAATTTCCATGCATTTATCTCCTAATCTGGTTTAAATATAGCAAATCTGGTTTGATGTTCAATGCTTTAATTTTATGGTGAGACTTAACTTGCTTGCACCAGTGGCCTAGTCTGACCCTCTTTTTTCCATCTCACTAACAGTTCTATGGTTGTGAAACATCAGCCTACCCGCCAGATGAGAGGTGAATATGTGGTGTGTTCTAAGAATTTCAATGCAACACCTGCACATATATCACATGCAACACCAGCATATATATCACACTCATATCTTGGCACAGTGAAGCAAGAAAAGTTGTATGGCTGCAATTCTTCACTATTCTGAATGATTTTGATGCACAAGGCAATATTCTGAAACCTTGGATACCAGATTTGAGGTATGGTAGACTTGGGATTGAAAATTACTCTCCATGTTGCTTGATGTATGAGTGAATAATATAGAGTTTGATGATCTCTTGTATCTCAGTGCTTGCATGGGTGCAGTTTGATGGCTTGTTGCATTTTGATGAGGGTATCAGTAAAAAGATATTATGTTAACTGACTACTCCTTGACACACTGATGGTATCTCACATAATTGACTTATAATTGACTACTCATAGAACAACATCAGAACAAATTTGGTTAAAAATGAATGTGCTCATGTTTGCTGGTGATGTTTTAATTTCATCTATTAATTTAAGCACAAGATGATTGCATGTGAATAGAAGCATCTTATTCTTAGGTGCCATCATTTTTGCCTTCCAAATATTTTGTTGAGAAATATCTATGGTTTTAGTTTGGGAACCCTAGCTAACCACCAATGATGTGAAAGGTCTTTGAAAGAACTATACATGGTAGTTCTCAGGAATTTCTTCTCATTATGAATGCACATACAAATCTGGTTTGATTGGAGCTTATCTGTTGCTAGCTTGCTACATTAGTCTGTGATAAAATTAATAGCTTCCTATCTAGGTGATTAGTCACCTGCTAATTGTTTCTATATGAAAAAGGTCTATTGATAATCATAATGTTAGTAATCCCTGAAATTGATCTTTGATTTATCAAGTCTATTTATATGTACATGTATACCTATATGGCTCTTGATACATTTTCTTTATCTTCATGTTGCTCATAAGCAATATTTTGAATTTTACCAAGTTTATTAGATAGCTTAGCCTTGTAAACATAGAAGTGTCAAAACCTTGACCTTTTCATACTTATGATCCTTCAATCACTGTATATATTCTTCTTGTGTGAAAAATCGATTTGTACTTCTAATGAGTGAACTAATTAATTTTCAGGGATTGTGTGCCAACTCGCTTGATCGACTTGACCCTGGAGCCTCGGTTGAGATGGCGGGAACTTGTGTTGGAGAAGAAATCTGAAGTGAGTACATATATCTCACATCCTATGCTTTGTAGTGATTTTAGTTCTGCATTAATGGCAAGGATGTCAACTGTCAGTATGTGAGCAAAATTTTGTTTATAGCTGGGCTTGTAGTACGGAGAATTGTTGTGATCATTTTGCTAGTTGACTTTCAAGTGAACTTTTTTATGAAGGGATTAACAATTGTACATATTCATTCGGTAATGTTGGCACAATTTGAACCATTTTTTTAAGCCAATTAAAATGTTTCCACTTGATAAATCTATAAGTATTGTTATGAATTTCTTGACTTTTTACTAAATTTGAAATAAGCATCATTAACTGTTATTGTATCGCCTTGAAATATATCAAGAGGATTTCAACAATATTTTTTAGCTTGTAGAACTGGTGGGGCATGTGTACAACCTGACGGAGTTGCTGCTGGGGGAGTCTGCCCTACACTTCCTCCTGCATAACCTGGGCAAGGCAAGTAGTTCTGTTAAACTTATGGTCTTAATGCCAATCATTGCTACAGAAGAACCGTTAATGCTGATATGGTCTCCACAAGTACTTAAGTTGCTAGCCTCCAGTAGAAACAATCTATTTTAAGAACAAGACTGAAAAAAGTCTTGCCAGCCCTATCAAAACTGCTTCATAGTCATGATGTGGTTATTGAACCCTACAAATCATACCTTGTTCTGACCAGTTAATATTAAACTGTTTTTAGCAACAAGAAACAAGGTTTAGTGCAACTCTGCTGAGTTTGCAACTTACGTAATTGACAGTACAGGATTTGGGGTTATATAACCAATTGGATAGAAGCTCATCTCCTCTGAATCACTTTTTTCATGCATTCCTTATACATCATAATAATAACTTCATGATTGATATTCGATCTATAAGATAATGGCAGAATTGTGCATTATAGGTGCAATGTTCTTTTGCAGCTTTATATTTTGGTAACGGTGAATGTATTCGTGTATTACCCATAGTATAAGCATATCTTTTTGAAGCATCGTAATTTGTATGAATAAATTTAAGGTTGAAGTATTATGAATTTGTGTGCAGGTTATCTCCTCTCTGCCTCTAACATACCAGCAAGAACTTGAAGGCATTGCTGATGCAGCTGGCTTGGAGCTTGAGCAGATCACCTTCTACAATATCTTCTACGAGATCTTCTCCTTCTGTACATCCATTGTGATTCAAGACAAGCACGGCCAGCTGTATCATGGACGCAATCTGGACTTTGGACTCTTCCTGGGGTATGTTTCCTGCTGCTCTTTACTTCATCACTTATAAATTTGTAGATTAATTCACACTGCTAGTGATACTTTATTTCATCAGAATTATTTTGGCATGCGGATGCTGTTTGTATTTTATTTTACTATCTGTAACTCAATTGTTAAGGTAAACACATAGGTACCTTTTTCCTTGGGCACTTGATTAAATTTTTTATTCTTTACTTAAGCATCTGTCTCGCATTCTTATTGGGATAGGTTAAAGCAAATATGGTAATTTAAGGTCACATAACTGGAGTTTTACAATTTAACTGAAAAATCAGTACCTGGAGAAGGTTATTTCACGAGAATGATTGAGCAGGTGGAATAACGCTACTCATCAGTGGCGTGTGACGGAACTGCTTCGTCCGCTGGTGGTGCAGCTGGAGTGGCACAACACCACCTCCCTCGTCTACACGTCTGTCTCTTATGTCGGCTACATCGGCATCGTCACCGCGAACAAACCTGTAAACATTCATAGTTATCATCTATATCTTTTTATTATGTAAACTAATCTGTATTTTCATTGCCCGTTTCAAAGTATCTCGCAGTTGTTCCTAAATTCCACTCTAATTAAATGCAGTCAGCAAGATTTATTTGTTCATTTTTTCTAGAAACCAGAGACTTATGCACTCCCTCATTTATGCATTTAAAGTTAGCATGTGGAGTCTGGTTTGCCTATTAATTTTGCATTATTTTTGTAGGGAAAATCATAGTTGTGATCCCGAAGTTTGAGCATAGGTATGCGAGCAATATATGTTGATCATATGTTTTGAATGTAACAATTTTTTAATGTAGATAGCTGGAAAATTTATATTGCTCCTCACTATGTTCATGGATGCAGTGACCATATTTTGAACGTATGAAAAGTCCATTGTATTGAGTGTTCAGATTAACTTTCAAGCATCATTGTAGGTTGATCAACAAAATGATGTTCAGGGATTAATAATTAATATATTAATAATTACTTGGAAATTTGGCTGTAATCTCAACGGTGATTTCATGGCTTTATATAAGAAACTGCATCCCTGTTACCAAAAAGAATACTATACTAACATGCAAATTTTTCTGCTTAGAGGGATTAAGGTATCCTATCAGTTATTCTGATAATTTCTTTCATCTGGCAGGATGCATTCAGCTTCAGTGTGAACGAACGTTTCTCTTGGGATGGCGGCTACGTGGGCCTCATAGAATGGATCGTCTTTGGGGACCACAAGCAGCAGTGAGTGGCATGGAGTCCTGGGCTGCTGCGCTTCACTGAAGAACGAGCAATGTTCTTGTAGCTTCTTAGTGTGTTGATATTGCTTCCGATATCCTAGGAATACTGGTATGCTGGAGCCATGATTAAAATTTTGTTAAATTGCTAAAAATTTAAACAAGCTTAAGAACAGTCGATGGTTTGCTACTGATAACTGCATGCAACTTTCGATACTGGTACCGCAAATATAAAGTACTAGTTGCGCATGTTCCCCATAGTCATTAACATTGTTAATGTATTCTTGATTATGAATAATTTGAAACCTTCCTTCATTATAAATTATTAGTAATTTAATTAACAGGTATTAACTGTTTTACTTCTACTCCCACTAGTCCCACATCAATCAAATAAATTGTAGTTCTGCTGGCTCTGCAACGACGATGTCTATAAAACTTGTCTGGTGTAAGGAGCATTAGCAACAGCTAGCATTCCCATCAGCAGTCTGGGGTCTTTGTATTAGTTATATTTGTATCACTGAGACCGTGCACTACTGCTGACAATTGTTACTGAGCAGGTGGCTGACACTCTTTACTGAGCAGGTGGCTGACACTCTTTACTGAGCAGGTGGCTGACACTCTTTACTGAGCAGGTGGCTGACACTCGTTACTGAGCAGGTGGCTGACACTCGTAACTGTGCAGGTGGCTGACACTCGTAACTTTGCAGGTGGCTGACACTCGTAACTTTGCAGGTGGCCGACACTCGTAACTGTGCAGGTGGCTGACACTCGTAACTGTGCAGGTGGCTGACACTCGCAACTTAGCAGGTGGCTGACACACGTAACTGAGAAGGTGGCTGACACTCGTAACTGAGAAGGTGGCTGACACTCGTAACTGAGCAGGTGGCTGACACTCATAACTTTGCAGGTGGCTGACACTCGTAACTTTGCAGGTGGCTGACACTCGTAACTTTGCAGGTGGCTGACACTCGTAACTTTGCAGGTGGCTGACACTCGTAACTGTGCAGGTGGCTGACACTCGTAACTGTGCAGGTGGCTGACACTCGTAACTGTGTAGGTGGCTGACACTCGTAACTGAGCAGGTGGCTGACACTCTTAACTGTGCAGGTGGCTGACGCTCATAACTGTGTAGGTGGCTGACACACGTAACTGAGAAGGTGGCTGACACACGTAACTGAGCAGGTGGCTGACACTCGTTACTGAGCAGGTGGCTGACACTCGTAACTGAGTAGGTGGCTGACACACGTAACTGAGCAGGTGGCTGACACTCGTTACTGAGCAGGTGGCTGACACTCGTAACTGAGCAGGTGGCTGACGACGCTGACGCGTGACGTGCTGCTGATGGCTGGCACCTACGACGAAGCGGTGCAGCAACTCGCGACCCCCAGGCTCCTCGCCCCGGTCTACTTCACCCTCGCCGGCACCCGCCCAGGCCAGGTCTGCTATTGCCCAAGGGGGGCCCTTGGTATGAGGGTCTTCATTAAATTAGAACTGGTATTGGTCATGCTCATGTAGACCTGGTGATTGGATTAATATGCTTGCTCTATCTTAAAAGCGGTATGCTCACGTCTGATCACGCTCATACATGCGAAGAAATGCCTCCATGTGAAGTAATGAAACATTAATTTCGAAACTATTGGTACAACCGTTCACGGCAGACTAAGATTTACTAATATTTTATGCAATTGACACTTTTTGCTCAGTGACGGATACATACTGTATCTCTCTTACAGGACTTGATGGTACCGTTATAGCGGCTAGAAATTTTGTTTTCACTTTTTTGTTAATTCTTATTGGTTCAACAGAGAATTTTATTTTGGGCAAACATTTGGCGAATTATTGGGACTATTCATGTGGTACATTGTAGCTCCTGTGTCCGGAGGATGATTTACCCGCGTATGTATATATTGAGTATAGGCTTGACCTGAGGACAGGACTGGTACGGTATTCGATGACTAAGTACGTGAGGGATAAGTAAGAGTGATTACCCAGATACAGACAGGCATAAGGCTAACGGCTACGACCGTCAGGTCGGAGAAACTCTAATAGTAAGCGCTATCCGTCAGCAGTCGTGCAAACTACTTGGAGGTAACTGGGAGCGCTTAACAAAAAGCCTATGGCAACGCCAAGGCCTTTTATAGACTTCGTATTTCCGTCTCCAAATGAGTTCTTGCTCACGTGATGTTGTCAAAACGATGACTCATTGTCTAGTACTCAGCTGCGTCTAGAGCATGTTTCGTCTCCATAATAGATGATCTAATCTTATGTAATTATAATAAATAAAATGAGACGCCTGATCGACACCTGGCACCATTAATTTACAGCAATTAAGTTTCCGTGTTTCAGGGCTGCATCATAACCCGCTACCGGGACGACTACCAGCTCCTGAATCTTGGTTCTGCAGATTACCACGCTGACTGGTATCTGGTGCAGACTAACTACGACCACTGGAAGACCCCGCCATTCTATGACGACCGCCGCACCCCCGCCTTCACTTGTCTCGACCGCGGCGTGAACATGAGTGCGTCGGGTGTTGAGCGCGGCCCTCGGCTTCCCCAAGCGCGTACTGCTGATATTCCACGCTCTATCAAGAATCTTGAAGCGCCTGGACACGGGGATTTTGATAATACCGAAACCCGAACTTCTAAGAATGATTTGTCGAAGTCTGGGCTCGCGGACGTCACTGCTGACACCCAAGTTACCGGATGTGGCATACTAAATTACATTATTGATAAAAAGCGCGAACTGCAGGACGTTATATCTTCTTATTGGTACGCTGGACTCCGTAAAGCGCGGCGCTTGCTCGGTATCAAAGAAAACGACCAGCAGCCAGCGATGAAGAAATCTTCTCCTAAGGCGACACTGGAGACCGTGTATGATGACAATCAGGAGCCATTATCGTTACTTTATAACGTTCTTTCGACTCGTCCTGTGCTCAACAAGCTTACCACCTACACGACGCTCATGTCGGCCAAGCAAGGCTACATCAAGACCTGGGTCAGGCAGTGTCCCGACCCATGTTGGCCGTGGTAAAAGTTACAGGTCAATGTAACTGGGAGTTTTTCTCCCTTATATTGGCTGTGGCAACGTTTCTTCTCACATCACTGTTCGACCAGCATACATGATCGCTAGACACGCTGCTTGTGGTCAAGGATATAAGGTATACAAATATACCAACCACCTATTCTTAATTTAAGCGCGGTGACGAAGCAGGATTTTTATTTTGAACCGTCGTTTTGACGTTGAAATTATTTCAGCGGTAGGTATAGTATTTTGTCCTTTTATCAGTATATAGATGTTGTCATGACGTTAAGTATCGGTCAACTTTCTGTATAAGCCTGGCTAATCTCATGTACTTATTCCAATACCTTCACATTTTACTGTTGAATTGGATGGGCTTCCCAGAAACAACCGCGTTCGAAATGAATCTCACCGCTGTTATGTTTGCCCTATCTGCTATGGCGACGCAAGTTACGAGGCCTTATACATGAATAACATTTAGGGGAATAATGTATCGGTAAACAGATTATATTTTCGCTGTCACGCTAGGTACATCCTGATCAGATGTGCTCGTGGTTGTGATCATGATGTCTTGATAGCCGATAAGTTCATCTAACATCTTTTGATAAATTACGGTATGTGTGCCATGTAATTTGAACAGGTTGTCAACCTCTGCCTCTGGTAGAATATTTCCATGATGTGGAATCTCGAATCTAAACCTTCGTGGTTAGTGTTCAGCTGTTGATGCTGCTGTGCCACCAATTGTACGTCATGTAAAATTTGCATTCGCAACTCTCCACATTCATGGAGAGTATTTTCTAAATGTACGTATTGCTGTATAGCAACTGTTTTATTATTAAGTTTTGAAACATATAACCACTTTTCCATTTGAACATTGCTTAATTTTAATGTCTCTTGTGCTAGTCAAGGTTCAACGAAAGTCTTCAACTCGAGGCTGAAGCAAAAATCAAGTTGAGTGAACCCAAGTCTTGAAATATAACATTAAATGGTGCATTAGACTGCGGCATTACTTGCTCTATTTATGCTATATGTGTGATGAGAACTGGTGTGATGAGTGTGGAGCAGAGCCTTCATTTTCGAGCATCTGTTTGGTCGAGCGTATTGCATACCTGCATCGCAATGCAGTGATAGAACAATGCAACTGTTGAGCAATAAAACGCAACTTCGAAGCAGTTAGGTTAATAAGAATAATTGCTGCGAACAATTTTTGCAGTGCAACTGTGTGCCATTTTAGTGGCTCAAATTTATACACATTCCATTTATTGAATATTCTTGTTCTCGAGACTTTATATATGGAACATAATTTATCCCATAGATTGTGCATTATTAGTATTATTGTTGCTAAGTCTTATTATAATCATTATTGTTCTTTCAATCAGTATTATTATCCTTATTATGTTATTATGTAATTCTTAGCTCGGTACCAAATAAATGAGGGGATGCTATCTCCTCCTTTGCGCGATGTAACGCATGTTCCTAGCTGCAACCAATCGTCTAATATCTGCACCGAAACAATATTAACAATAATTATTGAAAGAGAACGATACCGCATGAAACAATTTTTTTCTTTCAAATTATTGCGTAAAGCTTTAATATGTTTAATGTTGTTGCTTGGACTGTTTGTGTTGCATTGATGGTTTCCATAGCTCTCTTTTTCATTCTGCTGATCTGCCTATAATACATTTCAGGAGGCCTGTTGACATTTCACATGTCTTGGCTTCACAGAAGTTTGCGTTTTAAGCTTAGCTAAATATTTCCTTTTTGTACGTATATTTTGTATGTATTTTGATGGTCATACGAAATATTAACTTTTTGTTCCAACGTATGACCATCGAACACCTCTTCATTTTATTTGAAACCTAATCATTTAAGGCCTATTGATTAAAAATTTTAGTATAAAACCAATTCCTCCAACCGACATCACGACCATCTACAAATAAAATCAGTCGAACGGTGGTTGCAACTTGGAAGGCTAGTGAATAGGCAGAAAAAATTACAATCTCTCCCTTGAAAAAGTGAAAGATGGTACATTGAATACGCCAGACAAAACGTACTGGTTCCCGCCGGCACCTATCGTGTTTGCTCGTAAAAAAGTGCCGAATTGAAGCGCTGTTCAGAAGTGCCAGAAAGTCAGCGGCTGTTGCCGCTGACTTTCCCAACCATCCCTTGCCAGTCGATCCGACACTTACGCGAAACCTCAAATTTCAACTATAACAATTCAGCAATAAAGCCAATGGAAACCAAGAAGGTTTGCAACGCATTCTCGAGATAGCCTTCTGAGATATTATTAAGTTTTCATCAACCCGCTAAAAAGCCATGTTTGACATTTAGCGACGAGACCGGAATTGTAAAGTATCATCTACCTAGGCGTTGAGCCGACTGTAGTGATTCTGCATATGCTATAAGAAACCATCAAGAAGCTGACGCACTGAAGCAAGATTTTACCTGTGCCAGCGCATTTTTTCTGTCAGCTAAGATAGTTGTTTGTGCCGAAGCTCCAGTAATTGGATAAAATAACGAGTTCCGACACCTTCATTCGTGCAAAACTGACACTGAAAGATCAGTGGCATTTAAGAAAGTGGAATTTGATTGAAATAGATGCATTAAAAGCTGAATATTGTCTATGAAAATTATACGAGTTTGTGTAATACCTGTATCTGTAAAGCAGTATGTAAAAAGTTGTGGTTTCTGTACGTTTACGAGCATTGTTTGTCGGTAGGTTCTAACGAAAAATGATCAATTCTGACACCAGAGCATATTGATCCCGGTCGAGCTTATACTTATATATTCACCTGTCCGGGATAGCCGGGCTGTCATGAATTTTTTACTGGTGAATCGACAAAAAAGTTTAGAAATATATGTTCATATGTTTCTTCGTTTCAGACGATTCTCTACTGATCATTTTGATTTTCGACCGAAAATTTTCTGAAACCCGAACACACTGTTCGGTGATCGCCGGAACATTTCGGGGGTCAGCCCTCCTTGACACGATTTGCTCAAATAAGTCGATATAAATTTGAAAATTTATGTTTACTGTATGTTTCACAAAATTATACATTTGTCCATTCGATCGAAAAATCAAATTTTATGAACCACTAAAAATCAAATTTTATGTTCGTATGGAATTTTCCCTGGTATAATTTTTTTACAATTTGCTTTGCAAAATTTCAAGTTTTCTCAACTCGTGATATTTTTAGAGTTCATTGAAAATGATGAGAAGGGGAGAAGGTTGGTGATCGATATCGAGACAAAAAGAAACAAACCATTATTTATCGATTGAAAGCTGCCAATTACTAATGCAAATTCAACTACAGTGCAATTAATGAGTCACAGCAACAGTAATACAAATAACCATATACCCTATATATATGAAAACTTTTTCGCCATTTCTTTTTCTCACCACCACGAGCTTACCCATTGCTCACATTTTGACCTAATATCGCTACCACCACGGGCACCACCTGACCTTGCTTCCTTCTTCTTTCTACCAACATAACGAATGTGTAAAGGCCCGTTTACACTAGGGGCAACACACGAGAATCAAGTGCCTCAAAGCGCATGCAGAGGCGCTTTGCAGCCTCTGCATGCGCTTCTTGACCGATTGACGAGCTAGCGATTGACAGGGGCCATGCCTCATGCAACACAAGCGCGGCGCTTAGTAGATAGCTATTAAAGAATTGTTATCACTTGTATGCTTAAATCGCAAATTAACTAAGAATTTAAATT